TTGCAACGGACCGCACGTGGCCCGTGATATTTTGAAGCGCGTCCCGTTATGCAATGAGTAGTTTGAAGGTTATGAAATTGCTAGAATTTGGTGGTCGGATTTGGGAAAATTTGAATATGCTCTGTAACTTCCTTAGCTAAAATGATGTCGCTATTCCTCTGTGCCAATTTGGTTGTCTTGGCATCAGCGGGGATGGGGGCTTGCGTGCTTGGGAAGTCTAGTTGCCCAGGGGACGGAACTTTCCTGCAGGCCAAATGTCGATGCTGATACGTTTGTAATAAGCTAAATGTGGCATTTTTTTGTCCCCCTCCCCTCTCCTTCCTTCCTCGCTCATCGATCCTACTCGGGGAGGTAGCGAAAAGAAAGTCGGCTTCTGGTAAGGGGGAAGGCGATAGGAAGCGTCGAAGAGAGTTTTCTTCAGTTGCCACTGGGAAGGACCGTCCCCTTCTCCCCACCTGGATCCGCCAGTGCTCCCTCACTGCTCAGTCTGGGCAGCGGGTCGAAGTTTCAACTTCTTCATTGAAAGGCAACCGGTGTTTCTGTGGTGATTCGTTCATTCGGTGAACTGCTATTGGCGTATGCTGCGGGGAGTCAGACCTGCCATGAGTTTGCATGTAAGCGAATTTCGAAAGAGGAAACCATCGACAGCCTTGCCACGAGTAGATGGATGCTTCTAGCATGTGTGTTTGTGTTTTTTTTCCGCTCGAGCTATTTTCGAGTGCGCTTACGTCGTATAGCCAATACGGGGGATATTTTGGCTTTTATTACGTTCCTCATTTTATGAGAATCACAGGGATACCTTGCTTACTACAGACACTGCGCTTATGTACCGAGCATCACCGGAAGGACATGACAATCACTCCGGAGCAGTTTTTGTAACGATCTTGCTGGGGAAAACTTGTTCGAGTAGTTCCATATTGGTAGTTTGTGCTACCGAGAACTGTTTTTAAGGGGCATTGCAAGCTGTAAAATAGGACTCGCAGGTTTTCAGGCTCTGTTGTCATCAAAACTGGTTCTCGGGTTGTCAAGATGGGGGCAGATGTTGTGAAATTTGACTTTTGGGTTATCGGGATTGACTCGCGACTTGTCGAAATCAGTTTACGACTCGTAGAAGTTCACTTTCGAGGTGTTGGGACTGAGAAAATCGATTTTTCACTCATAAAAATTTGCTTGCATGTTGTCGAAAACAGTCTACGATTCGTTATTATCGAACTGCGAGAATTGCACTTTCATGATATCTTGCGAAATTGATTTTAAATTGGCGGAAAGTCGATTTGCGAGTGATTTAGAGAGCTTCATTGAATAGCTGTGATATGTGTACCATCGTTTTGTAGCTTTTTTTTTGCAGGGGGCATGCCGGGAGCGTTGGCGAAATCTCGGAGCACAGGCGTGAAGCCAAGCAGTAGCAGCTGGGTGCGCCAGAATTTCATTGTTGGTGAAGTGCTCGGCTCCGGTACGCTTTTATTATTTCTTTTTAAATTCAACGCTCCCCAATTTTCTGCTGCAGCTTGGCTTATGTGTGCCGCTGCATCATTTGAAATTTTTACATGAACAAATTTCAAGCTATTCTC